TTCTAATCTAACCATCATAAGCGGGTAAATAAAAGGGAGAAAGACGTGGGGTTGGAAGACATATATCACACACACGCACACTTATTACAGTTGTGTCCTCGCTCAGAGGGTCCGAATAAATAATATATAGTCCCAAATGAATAATTACAGTCCAAATATGTACAAAACCGTAATTAATTAACAAATTAAATTAGGAAAGCAATAAATTGGCATGCAAGCCAGGGACTGCCTCAAATCTGCTCCGGATGATGAATGATGCGTGCTCCGGTTGCCTTTGTCGGAAAATCCCTTGTGATGCCCCGGTTTGCCTCTGTTTGCAATTATTCTTGGGATGCGTGCCAGGCTCCGGAAGGTTGCCGATTTCTGATTTGCTGCAACAGAGAGCAACAAAGGGGCATGGCAAAGTATTTTCACATATGTATGCATGACTACTCTTCGGAGAGTGTAGTCCTCGATCCTTGTGCCACCAATCACGCATATCGATGCATGATGGCCGAGGAGTCGAATGGCACAACTCAATATGAAATGAATGCACATATAAACACGACAAGACCTAAACTCCATCATGGATTATCCGGAGTGTCGGTGACTGGGATTTGAGACACGTTCCGTCACTCGAAGTGCGAAACGTCCCTTGTTTTCCGTGCTCGGGCTAACTCCTATCCCAAGCACAATGCAATATGCATGACATGCATGAATGCAACTAATATGCAACTTAACATGCACAATGCTATGAGATGGCATACACAATGCACGATGTAACAAGGCATACACAATGCTCTAACATACAACCTAGCATACGCAATGTTATGAATCGAAATGGTATACACAATGCACAATGGACTTATACCAACATGAGTGGACCTCAGCCACACTCACATCAGTAGCCATGAGATGAAAATGAGACACTTGAAATGCGTGCACATATGCACGCAAACTGAGGACCGATCCTAAGGCACAAATGGCACTCTAACGAGGCATGGCAAGGAACGAAATATGGCATACAAACATGCAAGTTTCAGCACTGAAATTTGATGCAAAATGGTCCCGAAACATGGAAACATGGCACCCGATGCATGGAATAGCCCCGAAACACAAAACTAGGCATACGCATTGGCCTATAGCTATACAAAACATGCGTTATTTTATCATGAAGCATGAAGACAGATGCAAGACAGTCCCAAAACATGCATATTTCCAGTTTATAACAAGCCTAAAAAATGAACACAAATAGGGCTAATCTATCATGCAAAAATGGCCCTAAAAGAGAGATTAAACACAAAGGGACAGAAGCTGGCCCCAAATGGCAAAGAGCCCTTCAACAAAGTTGAAGAGGGGCTCAAAAAAGGGCACTTTACAGTTTACATAAAGCCACGAAAATAATCACAAATAAGGCCAAACTATCATGCAAGAAAAGGCCTAAAAGAGGGGTGAAGAGACAAGTGGCAGCTGCTGTTCTCAAACAGAGGAGAGCCCTTCAACAATGTTGAAGAGGGGCTCAAAACAAGATATTTCACAGTTTATGTCAAGGTCCAAAACAACTCACAAATAGGCCTAAAATACTATGCAAAGATTGACCTGAAAGAGAGATAAAGAGGCAAGTGACAGCTTCTGTTCTCAAACAGAGGAGAGCCCTTCAACAAAGTTGAAGAGGGGCTCAAAATAAAATATTTCACAGTTTATGGAAAAGTCCAAAACAGCTCATAAACAAGCCTAACATATCATGCAAGAAAAAGACCTACAAGAGAGTTAAAGAGGCAAGTGGTAGTAGGAGACCTCAAACAACAAGAGGTCCTTGATCAAACATGAAAAAGAGCTCAAAATATGGGTATTTACAGTTTGGGTCGGAGCCAAAAAATGCTTGCAAGCAAGGCTTAGATATAGAGCAAGAAAAGACTAGAAAAAGGAGAAAGATGACTCACCCTTGAAGAGCAGCAAACTAGTAGCTTTTGGACCAAATTTGTGAGCTTCTAACCTCTTCAAATGTCCTCCAATGTGCTGGAATAGAGTGTAGAGGTGTGGTGCTATGGGTTGTAGGGTAAAAGTGGCCAAGAAATTAGGGTTTTGGAGCTTGGATGAGAGAGATATGGAAGTTGTATGTATAATGCCCTAACCAAGTTTTGTAACCCCTAAAATGCAGCTGAGGGTGCTGGTTTTATAGGGAAAGGAGTGGAGGAAAGAGGGGAAAAATGGAGGGGAAAACCAATTCAAATTTCCCCCCAAAAGGAAAGACCCTCGGGTATAGGGTCTAGAGGAAAACAAATTGCACACCTGGAACACACTTGGGAAGGGGATCATGGCCGGCCAGCTCAAAAGGGCAAAAATGGTCATCCAACCAGGTAGGTGGCCGGCCTGCCACCTTTTCTGGCCGGCCTGCTACTTTTTTGGACAAAAAATGGGTCTGCCGGAAAGAAAGGTGGCCGGCCAGTGATAGGGAAGTCCAATGGTGGCCGTTCAAGTGTCCAAATTGAAGCCCCGGAAGTTATCTTTCCAATGGCGCAAACCTTGCATTAAAATGCCTCTTGTGCAAAAAGTTATGCCTGTTTTGGTGAAGCCGCGCAGATTCAGTCCAACCGGAGTGATGCCCTACTTCAATCAACCATATCTCCCTCGTCCGGAATTGGCTTTAGGAGATTCTTGAGTGCAAAATGAAGCCCCGGAAGTCTTCTTTCCAATGGTAGTGGCCTCATAGCTTGATTCCAAGTATACAAATGAATAGGCCCGATTCGGCGAGGGTTGCTCGACTCTTTCTTAACAGTTCATGCCCATTTTCTCCCCCAACTGGGTTTCTTCCCTCTTCTCTTCTTTTCTTCAACTTCAGACCCCTAAGTAAGGTGTTTTGAAAGATTTTTCAAAGATTTCATCTCTCTTTCATTCATTTCTACTTTGTCCTTGCTTGGTTTACCGAAAAGCGCAACATTTAACAAAATGCGAGTGTTGGAACATCGTAGAAACTTTATTTCAAAAATGTTTTGAAAGAGAGGGTTTTAAGATCTAAAATCTTTTGATCAAGATTGTTTTGGTAAAAAAAAAAGGGATATGAAGGTGAGTTTTGACTCTCTCCTTGCCGAAGAAACTGAACCTTTCCCCTACACACCTTTCTCCACTATGTAAACCATCAGTCGCGTCCAAGTCTTAAGGGCGGTCAAAAATGGGGTGTCTACAGTTGCCCCTCTTTGACAGAACTCGGAAGTCAAGAAGTGACGGGAGTGAATGTCAAAGCCCAGAGACGACCCATTTTTGACAAGGCCGAAGACTTGGGCAAACAGACAAAGTACAGACAAATAAATAGTTGCGCCCGCAGGTTGCGTACGTATCCTTTTGCAAGGAATCAAACCAGCGTAGTTCAGGGGCAAGATAAAATGATATGCAGAAATATTTTGATAATTGGACTTATACGCCACGCGAAGCCAGTTTGAAGATTGGACTTATACGCTACGCGAAGCCGGTTTGAAAATTGGACTTATACGCTACGTGAAGCCGGTTTGAAGATTGGACTTATACGCTACGCGAAGCCAGTTTGAAAATTGGACTTATACGCTACGCGAAGCCGGTTTGAAGATTGAGGATTTATGCAATGCACTGTAATGTAATAACTGAAATGCAATGTAATAGCTAGGAAATGAAGGTACCTCACAGTGGCAATTGGCAATGACTTACCTCATGCTGCTGGGGATCTCCCGCTTCTTCTCAGTTGAACCACAGGTACTACTTTTCTCCCTGACTATGGTTGCAGCTTTCCCTATTCTCCAACAGCGTGACAGACTAGGTTGAATCAGTATCCAGAATTGAGGTGCACACAGATGCTATCTCTATCTATGGGGCTGCCATACAGATTTCAAGCCGAGGATATACCCTTGGGTATTTAAACCAGACTTTAGTCTCGGAAATCCCGAACCTTTGCGTTCTAGGCATAAGCCATTCGAACTCTAGTTTCCACTGTCTCAGTTGGTCTCCTAGGAACTCACCGCAAACACAGGCAGGTGGCTATACCAGACCACCAGAAGTCCCGAAAGTCTTCTTTCCAATGGTGGTGGCCTCATATCTTGATTCCAAGTATGCAAATGAATAGGCCCGATTCGGCGAGGGTTGCTCGACTCTTTCTTAACAGTTCATGCCCATTTTCTCCCCCAACTGGGTTTCTTCCCTCTTCTCTTCTTTTCTTCAACTTCAGACCCCTAAGTAAGGTGTTTTGAAAGATTTTTCAAAGATTTCATCTCTCTTTCATTCATTTCTACTTTGTCCTTGCTTGGTTTACCGAAAAGCGCAACATTTAACAAAATGCGAGCGTTGGAACATCGTAGAAACTTTATTTCAAAAACGTTTTGAAAGAGAGGGTTTTAAGGTCTAAAATCTTTTGATCAAGATTGTTTTGGTAAAAAAAAAAAGGGGTATGAAGGTGAGTTTTGACTCTCTCCTTACCGAAGAAACTGAACCTTTCCCCTGCACACCTTTCTCCACCATGTAAACCATTAGTCGCGTCCAAGTCTTAAGGGCGGTCAAAAATGGGGTGTCTATAAGTTGTAGCAAATCTTCTGTCTGGCATCGCGAAGATTTAACTACAAAAGAAACAAAGAAAAGAAGAACAAGAATCAATGAATGTCCACTAGAAATATATTCATTTGTATGTAAAATGTTTATTCTTGTGGAAGTTAGTAGTTTATAGCTATCTGTTAATTTTTTCATTTCCTTGTAAATTTGCAGTCCACAGTCCAGTTGGGACTTGATTTTTTATCTCTTGAAAGTCTGGGTGAGTTTGTAAGGTTAGCTGAAGAAATACGCTATCTTCCAAATGATAATGACAGAAAGCTTCAAATGTTGGAGGTCAGGAGAAGGAAATTTTCCTTAGAAGTACTCAGTGCCTTCTTCACCTTTCTCGCTAATGTTTTTTATTCCTCTCCATCCTTTTTTCTTTTCTTTCATTTCTTATCCATTGGTTCGCTTTGTGGCCTTGTTTATATATCAACGAATTTTCTTAGATTCTTAGTTTTGATGCAGGTAGGAAAGATATCACTATATGCTGCAAGTTCAGCGATTATGGAAGTCCAAAAGCTTGTGCTGGATCCAAAGTAAGCAAATAAGACCTTCATTTTATGCTCGTCTTTCAAGTTTCAAGACTTTTTGTTTATATATATTTTTTTCAACTTGAAAGGAAACCTGTGCAATTGTCATTTGACTAGTGGACTTGGGTAGCAACTGCTTCACCCATAAGCAAGGGTCTGCAGGAGAGTGTCACATGCCAACGTTAAACTTGGTAGTATAGGCTTTGAAATTGTTTAAAAACTTTTAGGCAATGGGAATGTGATTTTGGGTTCCATGATTATAGTTTTGAAATCAATTGGAATAAGAAAGTGATTCCTGATTACCTATTCTAGTAGGAATCACATTCCCAAATCAAGTAGGAATATGATTCTCCCACTTTCCCATGAGAATTTCATATTTCTGGAGAAATGTTAGCCATTTAAGAGTAAAAAATAAAAATTGGATCCATGATTTAAAATTTTATCATTTTACCATAGAGAATTCCTAACGAAACCAAACAATTGTATAACATCAGAACAAGAATTTTATTCTCACTCTCCCCTCAAGGTTCATGTCACCCAAACATAGCCTTAAGGGAATCTTCCATGCTTGCTCTTTGCCTTTGCATGCATTGTTATCCAAACTTTGCCTTAGGGAAGCCTTCCATGCTTGCTCTTTGCTTTCGTATGCAAGCATGAAATGTTGTTATTTGAAAATTTTATTTTCATTAGTCTTCCCCTTTTGTTTGGTATGTTAGTAAAAGGCTCTTTGGTCACATATCTACTGCAGACTTGGTGCAGAGCTTGGATTTGAGGATCAAATTTGACTGCAATGGTTTCAAAGAATTTAGAGGAGGTGGTTAAGCGAAGATAGATCACTTGTGTTTGAATTAGTAAGTGTACAGAGCTTGTAATTTAGGTGAAATAGAATTCAATATCTCAAGTTGGGATGAGAATGCATGTTTTATAGTGTAAAACGTGTAAATATGTTTGCACGTAGTCTTCTTTTGAGGTTTCAATGCCCTCTTACATCAAGAAAATACCATGGCATTTTTACAATGAATATAGGGAAATTTGATAGATAACCTTATTGTAAGGATATGTTCTCTTTTGTAGAATATTAATGTTTAATATTTTTGTGATTAATGTCAGATTACAGGGGTACTATTTCATTTGTTTAGTATCTATTTATTGGCTTATTTTTCCTATGAAGGAAAATATCATAAATGTGAGCGTGCTAGCAAGAATTGAAAAATACTTACAGATTAAATTCAAGCCATTTTAAAGCGATTGTGTTGACGGTTCTTTTGCATCAGTGAAGAGGAATTCAAAATTGTCAAGTGTAGTGAAAAGAAAAATTAAAAGGAGTGAGAAGGAGAAAAGTGATTGAGTAAACAATCGGGGTGATTGAGTGAACAATCAAAGTAACAATTAATTACCTCTACTCTTATGCTTCAAAAAGGAAGTGTTGAAAATAAAGTGTAGGAAATATAAATGACAAGAAAAAATAGAAATCTATTATCTTTAATTTGAGTTGGATCCTTTTTTACAATGTAGCTATGAATAATTATTTATAGGCAAACATTTGTAGGAAAAAACTACCTAATAACTACCATACCCTTCCATTTCCCATATTTCATACTCCATGGTCTTCCACTTCATCTCTATGCCTCCATAACTTCCTTTAACCTTCAATTCATGCTCTATATTCTCCACTTTGTCCTCCATCATTTTTTCACATGTGTTTAATGATTCATAACTTTTCATAACCTTCAAATTAGTAGAAGAGTGTCACATGTCTTGCAATTATATAGATAATAATTAATAATGAAATTATTTATTTATGGTGCCAACACTATTTATGGCGACACTTGACTTCCCTAACATTTGGTTATGTTTAGTTAATGCTCTGACTTTTGAGTTTTCGCCCTAGTTTTTTCGGGGTGATATGTAAAAATAGATTATGAGAAAAATTTGATATGCTCTACATGTGTATAAATTCATCGGGCATGCTTTGGATTTGTATGAGTAGTTTCTTGTGTCTGCTGGCTGTTCTTGTGTCTGCTGGCTGTTCTTTGAGGTATGCATACGACCACCATGGACAATAGAAAGTGGAAAATGAATCAAAAGTGCTGGATCTTAAGTCTTTTTTGCTTATCATAATTGGGATTAAAAACAATCAAAAATGGTTTTTGCAAATGAGATGATTCTTTGTACTATTAATGTTACAATTGTGGTGAATTTTTTTTTCCCAGAAGAGGAAGATCATTCTCTTCTATCTTCCCGTAGCCCTCCGAATACGCCTTCTGAAGGTAGTTTGGAGGACGTAAAATTGGTACATTTTTGTAGTTGAAGGAATTAAAATATACAAATTCATAAGTGAGAGGTCAATTGGTATTTGCTAATAGTTAATAGAGTCTTAGGCACCATTTGGAACTTAGGTTTGGGGCTAAAATATACTCAAACACCGAAAAAGCCAAATAGCCTCAAACAGTAGCCTAAGCCACTGTCATGTGGTTAACAGCTTGCCACCACGGTAGTAAATGACAATTTTGCCCCTTCAGACCAATTTTGGGAAAATGTGAATGTCTTAGATTAGGGGCATATTTGTCATTTTAGTCTTAAACATCATTTCAAACATATTTTCAATACAACAATCAACCAAAAAATTCAATCCAATTTCCCAAACACAAAAACTAAAACAACCTACTAAAATAGTCAAATAGTTAAAAGTCAAAAAAAGAAAAGAAAAAGTCACTTCTCAAATAATGTCTCAATGTAATTAAACTTTTTAAGTTAATAGTACTTGTTGGATAACATTTTAAAAACAGTGCGAACTAGCTTGGAGGAAACTTTGAATTTTAGGACATTATTATATAATTTGTTGATCAAAGAGTCTTAGTGTAATTAAACTTTTTTAGTTAATAGTACTTGTTGGATAACACTTGAAAAACAGTGTAAACTAGCTTGGAGGTGTAGAAGGAGAGAAATTAAGATGCTGACTTAATTATTGAAGTTGCCTCAATTTGGCGAATAAGTATCATTAAATGAATATAGGTCAAAACCCAAAAGAAATGAGTCAACTAGAAGACCAAACCAAATCCGACTCGTTCGGACCAAATAGGCCAAGACCAGGAAGTGGCTTGAAAATGGCAAGATAATGCACAAACACTCGGTGCTGATAGCAGGCCCCAACGTTTACTGGTAGGAGCTGATAACAGGCACCAAGAATGCTAGGATACCACGACGACCCTGTAAAGATGGAAACATGGTAGCCTAAAAGCAAGGGATTCCCTTTCCATATACCCAGGTCAAGGGCTTGCTTTGGTTGCACAAACAGGACCAACGAAGCCCCCTTAGGCTTGGTACGAGGCATAACACTTGCTGGTCCGCGTAGGAAGCTGGGGAGTTTGTAGTTAAGTGGCTAAGGGTGGAGGATGTGCTAAGGTAGACACTAGTATGGTTGATAGCAGGTAATAAGTCCTACGAATACATGTCTTAGGAAATTGAATTGAGAAGGTGGACACTTGTTGATGTTCGTACCAAAAAGGCACATATTGAGGTTCGTGCTAAACAGATAGTATAGTGGCACTTGTTGAGGCTTTTTGCCAAATAGATAGTATATGTCAAGGGACACGTGTCTACCAAGGCTTGGTGGTTTAGGACGAAATATCTCGCGACACATGTCACTGCATTGTTTGGCCACTTGGTATATTCTGGTATCAATGAAAGCCTATAAATAGGGCCCAATTCTCAATATTCAAGAGAGAATGTTTTGGGAATTTGGGGGATCCGCTACCCATTTGATTGCACTGCCATTTTCTTTTTTTGGACCACTTGCTTCACCCTCACTCAGTTACTCACTCTCCAACCTTTCCAAATTATTAACCCATTAACATAACTTTGCCTCTTTAAATGATATTATTATTACTGTTGATTTTGGATTCCTACAGAAGGAAACACTTTGAATTTTAGGATGTTATTGTTTAATTTGTTGATCAAATTTCACTGTTTAATTAGTGAAATGACATCATTCACATTTGCATGAACAACTAGCTCTCAAATTTCAGATTCAAAAGTTGTCAAATCTTTGTAGTTTATCATCATGAATCATGACACTACTAGTGTGGCCTTCATATATATTCTATCTAGCTCTCAAGTTCATCCATTGACTGCTACTTTTCTAATGTTGATGTGTTACTACTAGAAATAAGAGTTTTTGCGTCTATTTTTTTGCGACTGATTATTTAACTGTCGCAAAAAATCACTTTTTTCCATAACAATCCCGTTTTGCTTAACCCTCAATCGTGTTCTTAACTGAACATTTGTCTCTGTAATCCCTGTGTCTTTATTTCAGCTCCCAAATTCTCTTCGACTCATAGCTTTGTTCGATTTCGAAGATCAACATCAACGGTAACAACATGAATTTTTTCCAATTCAATTTATTATTATCAATGCGGTGCAGATTCTGATGTCGAAACATCTTTTTGATTCGAAGATTCATTTTATTTTTTATTTTTATTTTTTTAGATTATTAAATCTTGATTTGCTTTGGCTTTAAAACTTGATTTGAGCATTTCTCTAGATTGTTTGCTAAATTTCATTTAGTTTTTGAACCTCTTGTTTGTATGCTAAGAAAATTTTAGGAACCTGTAGACACCCAATTTTTGACCGACCTTAAGACTCAGACGTCACTGATTGAGCGCTCGGTGATATTGCATATTGTGATCGTTCAGAAGTTTCAGAGTCCCGGTTGCAAGCCTTGCCTCCGGACTTCCGGACTCTTTCGTGCCTTGCCTCGGTTTATGAACCAGGCTCTGTTTTCTCTATTTTCTCTTTCCGAAGGGAGGGAGAGGTCTCGTAGATCATCTCTCAGTGGCTGTAGGCTACGTTTCGTGGTCGTAGGCCATTTTTCCCGTTTGGAGCCCGGTTTCCGGTTTCTCGGAGTCGACGGCCGCGTGCCTCGGTTCGGGACCGCCTAACCACCTCTGTTTGCTCCGATTTTTGGCACACATCTTATTTCCTCCCTTTAGAGGGACACTGTGGCCTGGGAGACCAACTTCGTGGTCGAACGCCACTTTCGGTGCCTAACAGCCTGTTTTCAGGGCCCCGAACTGCGTGTTTCGGCCCCCGAACCTTCGTTTTGCATCGATTTTGGTTCATTTTTGGTGGAAACCTTATTTTCATTGTTAGAAAGCTTGTAGGAGGGTGGGAGGCCAGCAATTGTTCTGAAAAGCCAGCTTTATTTCTTCATCGCTCTCCGTCGCCCGTTTTCCTCACTAAAAAGCTAATGTTGACCACCCCGGGGCCACTTTCTTTAGCCCTAAACCCCATATTTGTGTTGTACACACCTGGGAGGCCACCAACATGTATAGGCCGGCCAGTAATTGTCCTTGACCCTTTTGAACCCCTTTAAAAAGTTGGCTTTTCTCTCTCCTGGTTCACATTTTCTGGGTTTTGACCATATATTTGTGTTGTGTACACATGGGAGGCCACCTTTTTGGGGTGGCCGGCCAGCAATTTGCATTGACCCTTTTGACCCTTGGCCGGCCGGCCATGGGGGGCGGCCGGCAATGGCCGGCCGGCCACCTGAACCTTTTGAACCTGGCCGGCCATGACCCCCACACCTTGTTCTTTCCAGCTATGCCCTCCTTTTCCCCTAGATCTTGTATCCGAGGGGGGTCTTTTGGGGGGAAAATTTGAATTTGATTTTCCCCCCCTTTCCTCCACTCCTCTCCTCTATAAAACCAGCCCCCCAGCTCCATTTTTCAGGGTTACAAAAAATTGCTTTGAGCCTCTTGCATTAACTCCCCCTCTCTCTCTACTCCAAGTCTCAAAACCCTAAGATTCTTGCACCAATCCATAGCACAACACCTCGACACTCCATTCCAGCAACTTGAGGTTGTTTTCCAGAGGCTAAGAGCTCCCAAACCTGGTCCAAAAGCTGTTGAAGCTTAGTTCTACAAGGGTGAGTCCCATTTTCCCTCTTTCTTGCCCTATCTTGCATGCTATTTTAGCCTTTGTTACTTGCATTTTTGGGCTCCGACCCGAACTGTAAATAGTCATATTTTGTGCTCATCTCCATGTTTGATTAAGGGTCTTACTCTGTTTGAGGTCTCCTCCTCACCCTTTGTGTTTAAACTCTCTTTTAGG